CCCCAAAGCCCCAGTACATAGTTGTCTGTCATAGCTGCACATCCTTCTAGCTGCTGTATGTGGGACGCGGCCTCAGCATGGCCGGAGGAGCGGTGCCTCGGTGCGCACCCGGGATCCGAACCCGGGCCGCCGGCAGCGGAGAGCACGCACTTAACCGCTAAGCCACGGGGCCGGCCCTAAAATGAAAGGTTTAAAATTACAGTGTGATGGGGCCGGCCCAGTGGCGCAAGCGGTTAAGTGTGTGCGCTCCACTGCAGCGGCCCGGGGTTCGCCAGTTCAGATCCCCGACACACTGCCTGGCAAGCCATGCTGTGGTGGCGTGCCATATAAAGTGAAGGAAGATGGGCAGGGATGTTAGCCCAGGGCCAGTCTTCCTCAGCAAAAAAAAGAGGAGGACTGGCAGATGTTAGCACAGGGCTGATCTCACAAAAAATAAAAATAAATAAAAAATAAAATAAAATTACAGTGTGATGAACTTAATGATCTACATTATGCAACAGCCTTAGAAGTGACACCGTTTTTCAGTATTTATCGAAGGCCTGCTATGTGCCATGCAGGACACAGTCTTGTGTCTCAGGAAGCTCATATTCTATTAGGTGGGAAAAAGATAGTAAATAAACAATATGTTGTATGTCAGGTGGTGATGAGTGACATGAAGAAAAGTTAATGGGGTTAGGAGGCTAGAAGTGTTGGGAGTGGGGGGTGGTAAAGAAAGGCCCCACGGCTGATGGAACATGTGAGCAGAAGCCTGGAACAAGTGAGGAGTGAGCAATGCAGTTCTGTGGGAGGAAGTTCCAGACAGAAGGAGTAGTAAATACAAAGTCCCGGATGCTGACACACTCTTGGTATGTCTGAGGAGGGACTATGGCAGTGTGGCAGAAGCGGGGGCAGGAAGAGATGAGGCCATCAAGAACAACATTACAAACTAAGTTGTGCTGCAAAATTACTTTGTGTTGTTTGGACATAACGAAAGTTAAAACAGGAATAAAGCCATACTATAAAAATGCTTCCAACGACTGATTAAAATGGACTTGTGTGGAGGGGAACCCTCATAGTCCCTTTTCAAGGCTAATCTCACTTAGCTACCAGCAGGGGCCCTACCCTAAGGGGGTGGGTGGGGGCAGCTGGGCACGATAGGATCTTAGAACTTCTCCCCCAACTAGTTACAGGAATTACAAGAACAGTTTCTCTTTTGCCCAGGGCTCCTGTGGACCCAGAAGGAAGATGGCATGGTAATCTAGAGGAGGTTAAACTCAATGGAAATGTATCGAGTTGGGCCATGTACTATGTGTCCTCCCAGCCTCTCTATACTGACTCCTGCCTGAAGGAGGATTGGAGTTTTCCTACATTTTTATTAGGACTGCTTTATTTTTCCATGACTGTGGCCTGCCTATTTAGAGGTGTGCATAGGGGATACTGTATACCTGGCTATCAGCTTCATCTGCTCTCTGTTCTTGCTGGGTCTTTCCATAACTCCCAGAATGCCAGGCCCTAAGGTTTATGTTAACCTTTCCCTGCCTCTGCTTTCCTGACACTTTCAGTACAGGGAATTAATTTCCAAAAGACCAGAAGGCTGCACATATTAATACTCAATGTTTGATGAAAAAACAAATTCCAGAAGCTGTTTTCAAGCAGACAAGTGGCCAGTGGTTAAATAAATATATTCAATGTTTGCTGGCAGATATTAAAATTTCATCTAAAACAAGACTGGCTTTGTGGAATTTTTGTTGTTGCTAATACACAGGCATCCTCTAAGTAAAACTAAGTAAAATCAGTTGCTTAACTATGAATATTGACTCCAATATCTAAAACATTTAACTATTTTTAAGATCTTTGCAAAGTTACATATAAGATTATTTATCTACTTTTAAAAGCTGTGATTGTAAGCTCAGAAAGAAACACCAAATCTGAATTTCTTGCAAGCCACTATTCTGTTCTATTTATGTGCCAAACATGAGGTTTGCTGATGAGAGGCAGTGCAGCATAGTGGCTGAGGGCATGAATTCTGGAGCCAGACTGGGTTTGAATGCTGCCTCCGACCTTGGGTGTTACTTAACTGCTTTTTGCCTTAATTTCCTCATGTGTAAAATAAAGATGACAGATCTGCCTACCATGGGGTTGTTGTGAGGATTAAATAAATCTATACATAAAAAGCAATTAAATACATTTTTATATGTAAAGCAAACTCTGTAAGTGCTAGCTTTATTCTTTTGTACAAACAAAATTTTAAAATACATCTTGCAGGACTTCAAGCAATAATTAGAGAAGAGCTCCATAAAGGATTATTTTAATTAAGCAAAATACGAAAAAAAATACATACAGGATCTGTGGCTGAAGAGAGGCAGCGCTGAATAAGATCTTCAAATGTGGTCTTTAGAATGAGGTGCTCATCTGGGATAGGTTTCTTGGTAATTTTTTCTGTTGGCAAAGACTGCACATGCTGGAAGAAATAATAACATAAAGTGACCAGAAATGACCAGAAGCTACCTATACACACAGCCCTGAAACTCTGTGATAAAGAGGAAGCAGCTACCATATAGACAAGCTATTCAAAATCAAATGAAAAATTAACATGTGAAATCACTTGGGATAAGTGAAAGGAAGATCAGATATCTAGTAGAAGGTACAGGCACTCCTCTTACTGCTTCAATTTTCAAAAACAGGATTGGCTATAAGGTATTTGATTAATTATGGAACATACGTTGATCACTATTGTATATAAGTGATGGGAAGCAGACCTGTGCCAGTAGGAAGGAACAACGCATTTATGAGACTGGCTGGCTAGAGCAGCCGCTTGCTCTGCTTGTTGGCTCATTTTTGTTTATCCGGGCATTGTTCTATTCTTTAGTTTACTCTTTGAGGTTGTTAACTGGACTATTATCAAACTGTAAGATTAAGCCAAAGGTTAGGATAGAAGAGACCATGACGTTACTGAGTGTATAGATGGAAAAACAAAGAAGGTGTATTTAAGTTTTTCAAGTTTTGACTTATTAGTTCATTCATTTAAAAAATATTAGGCAATTACGTGCCAGGCACTGGCTATGTATTGGTGAGCCAATACAGAAATGATCTCAGCCCTCAGGGAGTTTATGGGCTAATGGAAGAGAAAGAAAGTTTTAAAATGTCATAAATGTATATAAAATAGCAACTGTGGTAAGTCAACATTAGTGGAACCAACAGACAATAAAACTGGGATTTAACTGAGGGGAAGGCTCTCTTCAGGAAGTTCTATCTAAGGATAAGTAGGAGTTAACTAGTTAAATGGGGAAGGAAAAGCATTCCAGAAAGAGGAAGAACATGTACAAAGAAAGGATCATGATACAAGGAGACTAAAAGAAGGCTAGTGTGGCTGGAGCAGAGAGACAGCAAAGAGGATAACAAGCTGAAGGCTTCTGGACAATGTGAAATATTGTGGTCTTTATCCCGAGAACAATGGGAAGCTGTAACGTCTTAAGCAGAGAGGAGACAAGACCAGATTAGAACTTGATCAAAGTAGACGCTGGCAGACCAGTTAGAGGCTCTTGCACTGCTGGAGGCTGGAGATAAAGCTATCATTGCCAGACTGGGAACACAGAGAAGACAGGACTCGAGAGACATTTTAAAGTAATATCAATAAAATTTGGGGATAGATTTGAAAGAGAGGTTAAAGGAAAAAGAGTATAAAGATGATTCCCAGGTTTCTGGCTGGATTAAATAGAAAAGATTATGGTGCTGTTCACTGAAACAGGAACACTAACAGAAGACTGGGTTTGGGAGGAAGACTATGAATTAGGCTTTGGATATGCTGGGTGTGAGGTGCCTCAGAGACATCCAAGTAGGCAGGGAGCTGGATATTATGGCCTGGCTGAACACATATATCTATGTAGCTCTCCCTTTCGATGGTAACTGAGGTTCTGGTCTAGATGAGTATAGCATGAGCACCCAGGTCTAAACAAAAGTGAATGGCTAAGTAGCTTCCAAAACTAACACAGACTTGTAATCATAAAAAAAATTAACAATGCATCTTTATAATTTATACTCTTGTGGAAAGAAGCAAGTCCTTCCACTGCCATCAAAACACTTGCTTTTTAAAATGTAACTTTTAATATTTAGAAGTTCCTTAGGCAGAACTCTCTCTTAGCAGCAAAGCATACTCTTGTGACAGATATACAATCTTTTTACATTTGACTTCAATGAGTCAAAGACAAAAACAGAAGAACTAGTTTTATACTTGGGCAGGAATTTGTTTCATTTTCTTATGTTGAACTTTGACGTAAGCCCTTTACTTTTCATGAATAGATCAAAACGCTTATCTTTGTATGTCTAAGTCAGTTATATGGAAATATGCTAGATTTTTCACTGTCTAGAACTCTGCCAACTAGCTGTTTGTATGTGAAGAGCAAGTACAAATTTATATCTCCATCCAAAGATAAGGCTATATGTTATTAGCTCTTACACATACACAAGAAAAGAGATAACTGATTACGTTTTTATTTTACATTTTAAAGAGAAAGACCTTTGGAAACAGCTTCTGTTTAGCAACCCTGGATGCATATATGGATTCAATTGATCTTAAATTGTGGGTACTGATTAGGTCAAGTGAAATACTGCAATTGCCAAGTTATTGTAAATATACACTCGCAAATATATACGCCTCTTCTAGAAAGTTTGTATATGGTCATTTAATTGAAAAATAATATACATACATAATCAAACTTAAAAAAAGGGTTACTATTTTTTATTTAGATTGTCTAAATTGAAACCAAATTTACATGTTGGTTAGTAAAGGTATAACCATAAAAGTTAACACATTAAAAAAATGTACTGAAATAGAGCCATCTCCCCATTCCACTTCCAGATTTACTGTTACCTGGATGGTATTTCCAATAGGAGCCCCTGGAGCACCTTCGATATTGGGCTTTGAGAAGGATGGTGACGTGCCTGGTTGACCAAGGGGTTGCTGTATGCCATGGAAGGGCTGTCCACCTGGAAGATGTGGCTGTGGGAATGAAGCTTGGCTTGACAGTGGTACTGGAGCTGAAGGTTGTTGCTGCAGCATCTGTGACTGGGGGTCACCCAAGGGATTCATGATTGGCGATGTGATGGGAACAGGAGGCATAAAGTTTTCAGGCATCTTTTAGAAGACGGAAATAAGACACCAAGAGTAAGAAAAAAACTGATAACATTTCCTCAGCTTTAAATAAGGAAATTAGACTATTCCTTAGTTAAGTAATTTTTTTTTAATAGTAGTAGAATACTTTTTTCAAATGATTTTTTCACATAAATTTCTAGAGTAAAACATAAAAGTAGAGCTGATCTGGCTAAAAGGCATGGGGAGCTCAAACCTGGACCTCTCAGTTTCACCTCTGCCTTCTACACTTACTCCCATAATGGGGAGCCAAAACTATGTGTTTTTGAAAGAGGATGTCAAAGGTGGAGAATTATATCTACAAATACAGGGCACTGATATGTTAAATGTGTGTGTGTTTAATGTGATCAGGATGTAATACTCTTTTCCTAGAGCACTAGGTATATATTACCTACGAATTCAATCACATTAAAAGTACAGTCATGTGTCACTTAACGACGGGCATACCTTCTGAGAAATGTGTCGTTAGGCAATTTTGTCATTGTGTGAACATCACAGAGTACACTTACACAAACCTAGAGGGTACAGCCTACTATACACCTAGGCTATATGGTACTAATTTTATGGGACCACTGTGATATATGTGGTCTGTCGTTGGCCAAAACGTTGTTATGTAGCGCGTGACTGTAGTAGATTGTTTCTGATTATTACTAACCTAAATTTTAGGTTTTCCTGCTCATTTAGTGTCTCCTAATTTAATGTTATGGCCTCTCACTATATTTCAGGGAAGGAGATCACTAGTAGTTTAAAAAAAAAAGTAGAAAATGGCTTGGGGAGAAAGAAGGAAAGAAGAATCTTATTTTGTGTTCTAATAGCTCTCAACAGTTACTGACAGGTAAACAATGCTCAGCTACAAGGCTATTTCTTCATTCATATTATATGTGATAGACAAAAATAGTCTACAACATAATTACCAAATTCATGATTACTGTTGGAACCCAAAGACCAAAGTAACTCCTAAAAAAAAATCATTTGAGAAGCCTGAAATTTTGTTTCCTAATCTGAAAGAGACTTGTTGGGAATTTACATCTTGCCTTCTAAAAGGGGTTTAATTCATACCACCATACTGTTTTCTATTTTCTTTCCTTCCCTTCATGGATTAGAAGATGCAAGTTGAAATACACTTTAAACATATCAGTCAGTAAGTTTTGCCTTTAAAAAGATCAGTGAAGTGTGGTGTGCTCCAGGTGGCTACATGATTAACAGAACATTTGTAGACAACTGGATGGACATCTTTTTCTAGTACCTTCTTCTTCTTGGGTATTCTGTTCAAAGCTGGAGGATCATTCCAACCATTCTGAGGACCTATAACAGATAATAGAGGACATTTCCCTTAAGAATCCTGAAAAAAGAAAACTAAATTGTATCTATCATATAATACCTCCAAATTCTGCCTTAACCCTGAGATAACTATCACAAAACTTTTACCAGCTGAGCTGTGGGGATCTCTATGTAAGCCCTGGATTCTCAAACTCATTATCTATAACAATCACAAGGCGTTGGTTTAGTAGGCAAGATACTTTGACAATATTTCCATTTAAAATGAAAGCTGTGCTAAATTTAAGGATAGTGAAGTCTTTACATCTATACCGGTGTATAACCTTCAAAGATCAGTTAACAGTTCTCTCCGAATAAAGAAAAAATAAATCACTTGAGTCTGCTAAAAAAAGGGTTCTGATTATTCAACATACAAAAAAGAATAAAAGTAGCGACCTCCTATTTCCCAAGAGAGCAAGTCAGCAAAAGCAAATTATCCGAATGGTACAAACACTGTTAAAAAAACACACCCTAACTACACAACATCAGTAATTTTTATCAGCTTTGCCTTAAGAATTACTTATAAAGTAGAAAAAGGCATTCAAATATCTGATAAGATTTTTTTTAATGCCATAAAAAAAATCCTAGGCTGGTGGCCAATATAAAATTAAACTAGTCAACTTTAGTAAATTTCCTCTAAAAAACAAAAAAACAAACAAAAACTGTCATCTCAAAGTGAGAAACGGACATGAGTAGCAGAATTCAAGTACCTTAATGCCAGTATCTTTAAAGAAAAAAGGAATAAAACATGCCAGAAATAGGATAATTTCTAAGTCACAATTATTTTACATTTCATTCAGTTTTGTGTATTTGTATACGTAAAGACAAAAAATTGCTCCTCTTTCAACAAATTAAACATTCTTTCAGTATTTTACCTATTTGTTTTATTGCTATCCACGATATTATACCACAAAATTGCTTAGCAAACCAAAGAACTTGTGATTCATACATAATGTCATAGAAACTTCTTTTTTTGGTGAGGAAGATTGGCCCTGAGCTAACATCTGTGCCAATCTTCCTCTATTTTGTATGTCGCCACAGCATGGCTTGATGAGCAGTGTGTAGGTCTGCACCCGGGATCCAAACATGCAAACCCTGGGCTGCTGAAGTGGAGTGCGCAAACTTAACCACTATGCCACCAGGCCAGCCCCTAGAAACTTTTTTAAAAACAAGATCTTCTCCTAACCAGCATATATTCATTTGCCTTGATTTTAAAAATAGAATTAATTTTCTACGAGTTTACTAGGAGATAGAATGCCAAATGAGCCTCAAAACACTCAAGAGCTAATAACAAAATCTTAAACCACAGGCTGCTATCTGCTTACCAAATTCTTAAAGTTCTGGTCATACATAGATGAATCATTCAAATCTCTCCCATTACCTTCTACTCTTACTCGTATCTCAGATAATCTTGATACAGTCGTCTTAATGCTATATAAAATAGATGATTTTTATGATTTAAAGCCATTTGTGTCACCATGTTAATTCAATCAGTTCTAAGACTTTTTTTTTTTAAATTGAAGTTTCAGGTGTACAACATAGTGATTCGACATTTATTTATATTATAAAATGATCACGGTGATAAGACTAATTACCATCTGTCATCATAGGACGTTTATGTTATTATTGACTATATTCCTGATGCTGTACATTACATCCCCATGACTTATTTACTTTATGACTGGAAGTTTGTACCTCTTATGCCCTTTACCTATTTTGCCCTTCCCCCCTACCCCAATCAGTTCTAAGATTTGATTCAATTAAGAAGTCAAATTAAAAAATGATACTGATCAGATTTAGGATTATCATCAGCTTTAAAGATCACATGCATTATTGTGAATCTTCATTCATTAATTGTATTCAATGATCCAAAGATTTCCAAAAGTATATATTTTATAACCAATTCACCTTCCAATATAGGTGCCTGGTCTTGCATAGTCTGATTTTCTGTAGACAAAATGTAAAAGTCACTTAAACAGTATTAACAAAGACATTCTAAACTCTACTTCTAATTTTGTAATTGTTTCTTCTTCATCCATCAACCCCCAGAAAGAATGAACTAATTTTATAAAAGGGAATAAAATGCACTTTTAAATCGAGTCACATGAAATGTCTTCTACCTAATTAAGACCACAATCACTTTTTGGGTAAAGCAAATTTATTTAAGTTGTGTCAGATGCAATAAGCTCTTAAACATCACTTTTCTCTCTAAGCTAGCTGTCTCTGAAGAGAAAATTTTATTTCTTCCTATTTAAAATAACATTTCCCTGTTTGCATGGATTCTTTTTCTACTATTGATCAATGAACCTCAGTAATACCACTGAAGGGAGAGCACTTCCTAACATACTATAACTAACGTGTCCATTTTACTATTATTTAAAGCTGTGAATCCACATCACCTGAGGATCTTGATAAAATGCAGATTTCAGTTCACTAGGTATAGTCTAGGGCCTGAGGTTCTATCGTTCCAGCTAGCTCCCAGGTCATGCCAATGCTGCTGGTCAAAACCCTCTTTAAGTAGTAGGGATTTAAAGAGAAATGGGAGGATTTCTACACTGTCCTGCAGACTTCAGCACTGCACGTGTTAAAGATAAGCATGTCAGGAAATCTTAACAAGGTGGTGCCACTTTATTGCTGGATTTGGGAGGCCCCAAGGGTCTGCATTCTGGACAAACTGTAATTTCTGGGGTCACACCATGAATACTAGTACAAATGAGAACAGGCTTAATAAATATGTAACCATCTCACATAGTCTTTTCTGTAAGAATAAACAGATCTGTAGACTGTTCAGCACAAGTACTCCAGAAATCACTATTTCTCTTGAAAGAACTGAAGTTTCTGGCAGTGGGCAAGAGGAAAGAAAGCAGAAAACTAACACAGCAATTCCAAAATTGTCAGATATTCAGGGTCAGGCCCGGCCCAACCTCAAATCAAAAGCATGCAGTGGAGGTACATATAACTTACAGAAACCCAACTCTCTTCACTTGGGGAGAGATAAACCAAAAGAATATAGCAGTTAATTAGTGAGTTCAATTCAATTTGAGCTCTACTCAAGAAGCACATACCCCAGAGAAAGTACAAGGTGGGAGAGGTAATCCCACAGCTTGAAATCTCACTGTGTGGAGTTCATGGATAGATGTTTTTCACACAATATAGCTCCTAAACACAAGCCAACTTCTTCATCGAGGGCTTAACTGAAGAAAGGAATGATCAAGGATAATTGACTATAAGTGATTTCCTATTTTTGCCTTAAATGATGACTTTACAACCTAACTCCCCATGTAAGATATGCCCTCATAGGACTATAGTTAATAAAACCCTGGGAGTCATTGTGTGTGCGTTATGACAGAGGATTGACCTGATTTGCAACTACTGATGAATTCTTCAGCACCAGAATTCACCTTCTGGGCTGAGGGGGCCGATATATTACAAACCTAAAAGCAGTGGAAATACCTTGGCCTTGACCCTTTTTTTTCAAGGAGTGGTCTCAACAACATGCCCTCCTCCCCTGCCCCATGAGAGGCAGGAGCAGAAGATGAGGACAGTTTTTCCTCTAGCCTCATGGGAGTGACTTAAGCCCTGGGTATTAAAGCCTAAGAGGGTATCCTGATTTCACAAACTATTAGCAACACAAAAAATTTTGCGGAGCAACTTCATACCACCCTTTAGTAAGATGACACCAAAGTTATAATGAAATCAAATCAAATTCAAAGTTGCAGAGTGAAACTGCATCTAATCAGAAACAAAAGATTCTCAACAGGAACACAGAGCCAGTTGGCTAGCCTGCATAACTTGAGGGTGGGGGTGTCTGCTGAAGAGAAAGTAACAGTTGTACAATAATCAAAGTTCTCCCCAAAATATATGCCTAACTGACTCCTGCTAACTTCAACCATGCAATGTATTCAGCCATTTGTTTTATTTCAGCCCAGATAACCCTTGTTCAAATCCCTTCTTAATTTAATGCAGTTTTGTTTCAGCTGTAATTCTAATGTCTTTCAACCTTTTTGCATTTGTCTTTAAATTGACTGTTGAAATATGACTTTTTAAAAACACAATTAAATTGACCTCTACTTTATAGAGATATACTTTAATAGCAACATTAGGTAAAGCAAGATATTCATAAAGAACATGAATATCTACAAGAGACAGTATTATGGAGGTTCATTAGAGAAGTGCAAAATGATACTCTCGTTCAACATTTAAAAAAAATCAACACAGCATAGTTTAATCTTGGACATAATTCTTTCATAAAACTGTAAAGAGGAGATTATCTTTTTTACTGTTTCAAAAAACTATAAAATGGCGATGAAACTCTTTACTCTTTTTAAAACATGACATGACTTTAAAGGGCATGGAAAAATGGCTCATGGCATAATATTAAGAAAAAAAGTAAGATGTAAAATTATGTGTGTGCATTATGATCTCAATTCTTTAAAAATGCATGCACACAACGAGATACCACTTCACATCCATTAGAATGGCTAGAATCAAAAAAACGGAAAACAAGTGTTGGTGTGGATGTGGAGAAACTGGAACCCTTGTGCACTGCTGGTGAGAATGTAAAATGGTGTAGCCACTGTGGAAAACAGTATGGTGGCTCTTCAAAAAATTAAACATTGAATTACTATTTAATCCAGCAATTCCACTTCTGGTTTATACCCAAAAGAACTGAAAGCAAGGACTCGAACAGATATTTGTATACCTGTGTTCATAGCAGCATTATTCACAATAGCCAAAATGTCCATGTGCAGACGAATGGATAAACAAAATGTGGTATACACACACACATATATATAGTGGAATATTTTTCAGCCTTAAAAAGGAAAGAAATTCTGATACATGCTACATCATGGATGAATCTTGAAGACACTGAAATAAGCCAGTCACAAAAGGACAAATATTGTATGATTCTACTTCTATTAGGTACCTAGAATAGTCAAATATATATAGACAGAAGGTAGAATAGTGGTTACCTAGGATTGGGAGGA